TCCTAAAGGGAGGTTTAACTGTAGCCCGTGGAAAATAAACTGTCCCCGTTTAGTAGGGAAACCAACTCCTATGGCGTGGGGGAACCAGATGTATTCATAAAGATCACAGATGGGTACACACAAAGCTTTAGGCTTCACCTCTGAAGACTTCTTCAGGCACAGTCTGGAGTCCTTCAGTGTGTGGTAACAATGGTTGTGAGATAACTGGAGCTCTGTCTCTCCTCTGCCATGAGCAGGGAGAGGATGATGTCAGCCTGAACCCAGATTTCCTAATTTTCGGGGTCACAGTTCCAATCTCTGTGGGCAGCAGCGAGGGCCCCAGTGTAGCAGAGTGTGTTTCTGAGCTCAGGGGCGTGGCGTGTTTGGGATGTTTAGGTATCAGCCTGGCTGAATGAAGTTAATGATTTGGTTGGGGTGGGTTAGAGGGTAGAACTTAATATAGATTTGAGTGAATGGATAAGTTCTTGTATTTGAATGGCTATCAAGCCTCAAATCCCTGCTTGTCAAACCTCAAATCCCTGCTTTTCAAACATCTATTTTTTTTAAGAATTGACTAATTTTTTCTCTACCAGGGGTTAGAAAATGGGTTCAAATAGAGAAGTACTGAATGGGCTTTTGAAAGGGATATAGGGCAGAGAAGAGCCTGAGTCTTTCCCTCTGCTTATTCTCAGCAGGACATGCTTTCCAATTCCTGTTCTTGGAGCAGGTTCATTGCTGGTCGTTAGAAGAGATCAGCAGGAGAGCATGTCTTTGGGATTTAGGTCACAGCCAGAACAGGCAGTATCATGGAGACAGGCTGATCACAGAGGCTTTCTGGTAGAGAGAAAAGGACTCTTGAGGTGAGGTGATGGCCTTGTCCCTATCTGCTGGGCCACACCTGGACTGCAGCCTCTCCTGCAGTGTTAGAAGACCCTCTGAAGCAAATAGGGCCTGTGGCCATAACAGTGGCTGGCCACAAGTTCCCACCTCCATATCTGCCTTAGGAAAAGGGGAGGAATGTATGCGGTGTGCATGGGCTCACAGAATTTCATGCCATTTCTAGAAACAGGGACTAGGATGTAGGAGCTGAGAAACCTGCCCCAGCTTGTAACAGGTTATTGTTAGCACTGAGTGGGAGCAGTCTGGCTCTGATGATAGCTCCCACTTTTGTCTGTTGTCATGTCTCTGGCGACAGCAGCTCCAAAAGACATGAAACTGGGAGGAAGAAAGACACCTCCTTTCTTACCAGGTAAGGCTTTAAGAATAGGAAACACCAGGCTGAAAGACCTTACATTGAAGTTTATTACATGTATAAATTACATAACCAGACCTGAATGACACTGTATCTTCAACAACTGTCTTGTGCTTTTTAAAAAACAAAAATGATTGGAAAAAGAATGAACAAAGACCTACTAGTGTCATACAAAACAGTCTATAACCCACAGGAGCCGTGTGGCTCCACAGAAAAAGTGATCACAGTATTATCTAACAGTATCAAAAACTGAGCAAACAGAGCTCTGGGGTGCTTCATATTTCTGAGAGACAGAAGTCAAAGCTGTGTTTCTGATCCTGTAGGGTTTTTGCAGGTACTCTGTAAAGCAGCAACAATTCTTGGCCATTGTTTTTAGCCTTTTATACCCTTGGTTTTTGGTGCTAAAGTTAGTCTCTGAGAAGAGCTCACACCAAGCATGGGAGAGACTTTGCCTGAACCCTTTTACAGCACTCTTTGATTTCTGGGGAGAAAAGTCTCCTTAATATTAGTGGCAGAGCCAAGATCACAGTACCCAGTCGAAGCGAATTTCTCTCGCAAGGACTGGGGAAGGTGGATTAGTTCAAAGTGAGGGAAGGCACGAAGAGAACGTGAAGGTCCTGCTCTTTCACATGGCAAATAAGCCCACGGCAACTGTCATGGCTAGGAAGCTGAGCGCCAGGATCCACCGCACCAGGGGAGTGCTGGGCATCATGTCTGTGTGTCTCCTGTTTGTCCTCTCCCTTTCTTTCCCAGGTGCTGCACCTAGATAAAATAGGGAGGAAAAAAAAGAATTTTTTTATAAAAAAAGGCAAGTGAGAAGAGGTTGAATCAAGAATTGTTAATGGAAGAGGAGAGGAGGAAGCCCAGAGTCCAGCTGGACTGGGGAAAACAGCAGGTTCTGCTCTCCTGGGGTGGGTGAAGTAGGGAAGCAGCAGAGCTGACCTGGGAATCACCAAGGCTTGCAACCCCACTCTGTGTCTGGGAGTACCAGCCTCTTCCCTTGTCTCCTTACAGGGTTATGAATGCACTGAGCAGCCTCATCAGACCCCTGATGTGTGCAGAAGACAGCCAAATACTTAAGACAGAATTTTAAAAGGCATTTTATCTCCTGCTTGTCATTGATTTAATTCATTAGGCAACTAATGACCTTAAACAGGTAGACCTTAGCACTCCAGACAAATGGTTTTCCCAGTACAACTGCAGGATAAGATTCCTCATCCAACACCAAACTCTTCTGAAAATCCTACTTTTTTGAGTTTTCACTAAAGTTTCACAAAGAACTTTTACTGCCTTTCCCAAAGAAGCTGCTTTAAGCTTCACCATTTAGAGATCCTCAAGACAAGGTTTGCTTTTCATTCTTTGCCAGAGGGAAGCTGTGGTTCAGCCCAGTGTGCACTGAAAAATCTCCCTTTCAGTTTCAGAATGGATAGGTTAGAAGGGCTTTTAGTATTTGAATCACGTGGAGGTTTCTTATTATTTGAATCACGTGGAAAACGTGGAGTTTTTCAGTTGTGCAGAGCTGATGGGCAGCTCTCATCCTCACCTCCCAGAGGGTTATATGTCACCCTCCAGAGCAATGCTCACGATAAACCCGCTGTGCTTTCAGGAGGGTTTGCAGTAAATCATTCTGGAAGGTGGGAGAATGACTGGAGGGAGATTTGGTCCAAAAGGACGGGTTGTTGGGTAGGGCTTTGTGTCCTGAAGAACCTTCTGTCAGCATCACAGCACCACGGCTGGGCCCAAGACTGCTGCCTTTGCTTCTGTGAACGCAAGGCCAGTTTTCCCTGTGGTCAAACCTCATGTGGCAGAGCAAGCTTACACTCATTAACACATAAGAGGAGAGTGGAGTCTCTTTCTTGTAAAGCTCCTTCATTAACACTTTTTGGAGAGCCCACATGTGTCATCCTTTCTCTGTCATGTCTAGAAGAAGGTCTGCACACACCAGTGCCTCCCCTCATACTAGCTACTGGTGGCTGGAGAAGAGACAGAGACAGGGCAAGTGCGCTGTTTTCTCGGTGGCTTTTGAAAACAGGAGGAGAAGAGAGAACACAGTCATGAGGGGCAATGTTAAACACATGCTCTCAGAAGCATCTTACCATGTTCATGCAGTTTGTTAGCATTCCTTGGGCGAAGCTCTGCCTTCAGCTGCACGGGGTGACCGTTCTCCTGGCCCTTGGACACCAGCTCCTGCAGCGCCTCAAACACCTGAGGAGAGGGAACACTGTCTCATCATGTGGCCTCCTCCTCTTCTTTCCCTGGACCCTTTGCCCCTTCCCCAGGCACTTTAGGAGCCAGAGACAAGGCTTCAATCCAAGTTTCCTGGCACTTTTTGCACAGAACATGATCTGCCTGTGGGGTTAAAAGCATGTCCTTCAAACTCCTTGTTCACTTTACAGGTTCTGCCTGAAGCCTCCAGCTCAGGTGAAGGCCATTGCCTGTCTTCTGATGGGAAGGAAATCAAGTACCTGTGCATCTAGTCAGCCCCACAGAGGACCTGTGGATCTCAACTACAGAGGTAGGACAGATGGGTGGTGATCCCCATGCCCAGTACACGCCCTCATTCATATCTGGATAGCAGCACGTGGAAGAGTCTGAACTCAGACCCTAAGGGAGGGAGAAGAGCTTGTCAGAGACCAGCCTTCTGCTAGGTTCCCCAGCTGGACAAGTGTAGCTATCCAACCTGGACTAGCTCACCCTAATCCACAACTTCCCATAAGCTCCACAGCAGAAATACCAGCTTTGCCTTGTCCCCTCTAGCTATTATCTTGGTTTAGAGAGGGTGTGGGCTGGCAGGGCTGGCCGATTGTCAGGAATGCTTTCTTGGCTTCCTCCAAGACTCTTTTCTTGGTGGCGAGATCCATCTCGAGGGCGTTCATGCGGGAGCGATAGAGCTGCTTGAACTTGGTGGCGTTGGAGACCCCATCAAAGGTGAAGAAAGCCAGCCCTTCCCCAGTGCTGGGAAGCTGGAGGGCCTTTTGGGCAATTTTCTTCAGCACCTGCCCCCCAGAGAGGTCTCCCAGATACCGAGTGTAGGCATGGGCCACCAGCAGCTCTGGGTGGTTCTTGCCTACGTAGTGGAGCCTCTCAACGTATTTCTGGGTAGCCTCGGGACACGGGATCTCCTCCCTCCAGTTGCTGCCATAGAAGTAGCTCAGGTCCTGCTCCAGGGCTGCTCTGCGGTGCAGCTCTGCTGGGAAGTACACCGGGGCGTAAACGGGGTTCTCCTTGTTACGCTCGATCTCCTCCTCCAGGGCAGAGTAGATGAAGTACAAGGATGCTGTTACCAGCTGAAAGAGAAGGAAGAGGATGAGCTACAGGTGCATGTCTGTCTTCTCCAGGTTTGGGGGACAAATCCTAGTCACAAAAAAGTTACTCATGGGCACACTCAGTAGGAGTCAGGCACATCTTGTGGTGTTGCAGGTTTCCCATGTGAAAAACAGAGTTGTGAGGTGCAGTGAGACACTCTTTAGCCCTTCTCCTTCTGCCTGAAGCAGCATCAGGTAAGACCTAAGCCCTTTCCAGCAGATATTGGGCTTGCCTGTCCTTAAAACCACTGCCTGCACCTTCAAGTTAAAGGTTGTGCAGCCTGATGTAATGGAAACCAGAGCCCTAGTAAATCATGCCTGGTGTATTCTCCTCTCTCCCTTGGTCAACAGAGAGGGTATTCCCAAAGGTATATTTTCTGGTGCATTGTTCAAATCTGAATGCTTCAAGATGTGGCTTCCCTTTGCAGGGCCTTGTGAGACAATGACACACTCTGTTTATTTTCCATAGAATTATTTAGGTTGGAAAAGACTTTGAAGACCGAGTCCAACCATGTGTCTTTTCCAGCACATTCATCCTGGTGGCATCCCACAATCATGGGAACTGAGGCACCACTACTCTTCTCACTCAGACTTGCAAGTGGGGTTGGGTTGCCTTCTTAGTTGCCCCAAGGAGACAAAACAAAATGGGGCTGGAAGCACAGCCTGCCTCTGAAAGATGCCTTTGTGAAGGAGAGCTGCGAGGCTGTGTGTGCTCCCCTCTATTCTGAAGCCATTGTTATTGTTGTTTTTCCCAGCTCACACGATACTTTCTTCTATCTGCCAGCTTCTCCATGTGGTGTGAGACAATCTAGCTGTGTTCTTGCCTTCCCTGGGCACTCTAATTTCAGAGGCTGTATTCATATCTACACAGGCACCACCCCTTCCTTACACTGGAATCCCTTATCTGCAGCAAAGTGTAAATCGTGGAGGTTTAGCAGTACAGGTGAGTCAGGCTGGGGCAGGGGGGGTTGTGCTGGTGGCAGGAGACAAAGCAGTTTGCTCTCCAAGCAATCAGTTTTGCAGTAAAAGAGTTGCCATTTCGACTTTTCCCCACTGTGCCAGCAAAGAGGACTTTGATAAGCACACAGGCTGTGGAAACAAATATTCCCATTCTGGGGAGTCACGTGTCGGGGCAGGTATATAGGTTTGCCAAGAGAGTAAATAAAAACAGAGGTTTTTAAACAATAACCTGTTACTGGAAAAGAAACAAAATACAGGAACGTTGCCTAACAAATTAAGAAATTGTAACCTGACTGGTTGTTTTCACATGCAGGTAGTTCAGTGGGAAACATGGCTTTTGAACACTGCCATTACTTTTTAAAACCCACGTCATGTCTCACTCCCCCTGAGAGCACTAAGTATCTTCTGGGAAAGAGAGCTGTGTTCCTGATGCCTGACTTTTTACTTTATTGCCAGCCTGTCTCAAAGTTCACTGCATAACCAGTGCTGTATTTCCAACAGGAGGAAGTCATCACCTGAGATTAAATTTAGACTTGACTAAGTATCCTGAGTGAGACCTGTCAGAAATAAGTAGTCTTTTTCTCACTCTGGTGGATTTATTTGCCAAGGAGCAATTCAACAACAAAGCAATTAAGCCACGGGTTGGATTGCTGGCTGTTATTTGCAAGCCCATGTGTCACATCCTATAGCCTCCCAGGAATTTCTGGCCCAGGTGCATGCTTCGGTTTTGCTCATGGCTTTGTTACGTGGCTCAGATCCCAGGAATCAGGTATCTAGCCAGGTTAGGCACAGGTCTGCAACTGATTCTCTTTTATCTTAAGAAAAGCAACAGGCTTCTACCTGTTGAGCAGAGGTGGCTTGCTCAGACTCAGTCTGCTTTTAAGTTACTGTTGTTCATGATCCCCGCTCTGGTATGACCTAAGTGACAACTAAAATTTTGCAAAATTCAGTGATCCCACAGCCTGACTTTCTCACTATCCCATCCTTACTTCTGGCTGTAGCTGCTTGGTGCTGTAATGTAGCATTCTCCCTCTTTTTGGCATTTCAGCCACTCGTGTGTCTGTACATAGTCATACTTCTATTATCATTGACAACAAATTAACATGCAGGCACTTGTGAAGAAAGAGAAAAGCAATTGCATTAATCCAAACAACCTCTTTGTCTTTTTATCCTGTTCCAGCTTGGGTGCCTGCCCTGATATGCACAGTCCTTCCCTGCAAGTGGAGCTGCTACAACCCTAGAGTGCTGGAGTTTGATGGAGAGCACATTTTGCCCAGGAGGTGCTGGCTGCAGAGAGCTGCAATGCAAAGGACCCTCTATTCTTACACCATCCCCTCCATCCCCCCTTCAATCCCTGCACAGCCTGTCTGATCTCACAGTGTCCCTCCTGGTGAGGAAATCCCACCCCAAGCAGTGCTGCCCCAAAGTACCTTAAACTCCTGGAGTGACACTTGCCCCTTCTGGAAATTCTTCATGAACGGTGTGTTCTCTGCCTGCTCGTGCACCTCCTTGGTGGCTTCCTTCATGAGCTCTGACAGGTCCTTGGACATGCTGAGAAAGAGCAGCAGAACAGATGTCAGTCCCCTCTGCCGGCAAGGTGGGTCTTAGCTCTCTAGGAACAAAGGGGGAGCTGGGATGGCAGGGAAAGGAGTGGAGCATTCCCGAGAGCCGTGGGTGGGAAAGGGGGAGCCCCAGCATCCCAAATGCTGTCCCGAGCACAGAAAACTAACTCCATCTGGAGGTGAAAGCAGGAGCATGCCGATCCCTGCGGAGCACAAAGAGGAACAGCAAGCCTAAAAGCAAAGGGAAGAAACACAGCACTCTCCAGGCAACGAGTTCCCCTCTGCTCCCCGTCCCGCTCTCACCTTTCTGAGCTGTGTGCCTTGGAAGTTTCCATCTTCCTCCGTGTCCTTTCACTCCTTTGCTTCCCTGTTGTTGTTTTTCCTCGCTGGTGCTCTCCTCCTTCCCCTCTGCTCCCAGGACAGTGAAGCTCTGAGCTGGGCAGCCCGGTTCTCTCATCCAGCTTTATATTGCCAGGCCACGTGAGCAGCCAAACCGCTGACCTCAGTGTGAGTACAAACTTCTTGCAACACAACTGCACTTCCCTTCCCAGCGTGGCAGTCACCCTCTGCTGCCTGCAGCCCTCGGGGACCAGAAGGAAGTCACCCCATTCATCTTGATAACTAAGCACAAACAAACTTCTCCTTTGGGAGTTCCTGGCTCCGTAACCCTTTCAGCTCGCAGAGCCCACGTGCTGCAAGGGGTGCTCGCTGTGCTGGGGGCAATGGTGTGTAAACATCTGGCTGCCCACGACCGTGGACATCTTCAGAGAGCCCTCCAGATCACAGAGGAGTTGTGGGCCAGGGGATGGGGAGCTCAGCACTACAGCTTGGGAGCATATCCCCTTCACGGCAGGGAGCGCAGCAGGAACCCCGGGGTGGGTACCAGTAGTGGGCACTGCTCTGCAAGTGCCAAAACTGCCCTTGCCCGGTGCTGGGCACTGGGGAATAAACCTTGTCACTTGGCACAGAGCCTGCACACGTGTGCCTGCACTGCTGTGTAGTGAAATCCTTCCCATTCTGTCTTGCCCATGGAAAAAACAGCAGCTGATTTGTGTGGCAGCTGGCCCTGCTGTTAGCACAGCTGTGTGCAGGGCAGCTCAGGAGAGCAGCACTCCATATCCTACATTCCCAGAAGGCTGGCGTAGCTGGTGGGCTGAAAAGATGTCATCCAAGACTTGGGGGAAACTGAGGAAGCCTGCAGAGACTTTCAAAGGCAAATAATTTCTCTGATTCAGGAAAAGAGAGTTGTACAAGGTGCTTCTGGCAGTAGCTGGCTGCTCTGCTGCTTTGTCTGGTGGTCAGTGAGGCAGTCAGCAGGTAAAGCAGGGCTCTCCTCCACCTGTAGCTGTGCTGAGAGCAGGGCTAGCCAGGATGGGCAGTGCCTTGGCCAGATGTGCTTTGGCAAAGCCCATGTTTCATGCTGAAGCCAAAAAGCCAGGCACTGAAATCCAGCATTGCCCTGGTGCTGTGGGGGTGAGAAAGCCCCACGCTGCAGCCCTGCAGGGGCTGGTGGGGAGGCAGGGCCTGGGGAAGGGGCAGGGGGACTGTGGCATCATCTGTCCATTTGTCCCTTCCAGCAAGTCCACTCTGGGGTGCGTGCTGCCACCCCAGCTGCCTGCCTCACATCTCCCTGTCCCTGCACCTCTACCTGGCCACAGTTGCCTTTGGTGCTGGGGGTTAGAGAGCTCTCCTGGAAGAAATATGCTTCCATGCTTGTTTTTCTGAGTGGAGTAGAGATCTGGCATGTGGTGCAGCACTCAGGAAGGATTACTCAGCGTTTCCAGCCTGACTCAGCCAGACTTTTCCTGTCTTGTTTTTGTCTTTTAAAGAAACAGTGCACGCTGACAAAAGCTGTCACGTTCTGCTCCCATCCCCACACCACTGCAGGTGACTTGCTGCTGGCTTGCTTGTTTTTCTGTGAGGTGAAATGAATTTACCAGGATGTCTGAATCTGTGAAGTGAGGGTGACAAAGCCCTTAGAGAGGGCTCCTGTATGGAGCCCATGGGAGCACAGGGCTGCATAGCCAGGCTGTCCTGATGATGTTGATGCTACTTTGCCACAGGGAAGGTGACAAAATGCAGGTTACTCTCTGGCATTGTTTCTCAAGGCTCATGTGGAGTTTTCTGTGCTTTTCAGTGAGCCCTGTGCTGGCACGGGAAGCTGGAACGCAGCTTGAACCTGTCATTTTGGTGGGGGGAAGCAGGAAATAGATGAGAACATGAAAATGGATAATATTATTTCTTTGATGAACATGAAATAGTATGGAAAAAAAACCTTCAAATCCCTAAGCCCTGTCCCTCCTTTCACCTCAGCTCTGATAATGTACCCACTTCCTCCCCAAGGTCTTTCTGATTGCTTTCAGGCCAGTGCTTTTGTCCTCTGCCTGCCTTCCTCCAAGAGGCTGCATGCTTGGAGGCACTCAAAAGCAAATGTCCAAAAGATCCTCTTCCTTCCTTTTCATTCAGGGTTGAGGTAGATGTAGATGTGAGACTGAGGGGGAGAGAGAGAAGGTGCCTAGTCATGTCACTGCTGTTCCAGCTAGGACACTTCTTCCCAGGAAAAAGTCCTGATGTGTAACCACACTGCCTCAGGACATGGAGCCAGTGTTCCCCCTTTTGGATCTTAGGGCTTGACCTTCTCCTGAGCTGGTCTCAAAAGTTAAGGTCCCTACAGCTCTGCTGTGAGT